TCCATCATTATCTCTGTTTAAATTAGATTCTTTAAAATTTTCTTGACTTTCAGTTTGGTAAAAACATTGATATCCTTTTACATTAATAATACCATCTTGGAAAATATAGACTCTTCTTGTATATTTACTTGTTATTTTAATAAAAAATCTGAAACCTTGCTTTTGATATTATATTTTAATTTCATGCTAAAGAATTTATCATTAATATTATTTTATTTTTAAATAATTTTTAATATTGAAAAATACCTTTGTAAAGAATATAAATTTTCGAATAAGTTCATTTTTTATCTTTTAAATATAATCAGGAGAATCTTTCTTTATATAGCCTATTGTAAATTTTTAAATAACCAATTTTGTAGAAATATTATATACTAATTTTTATTCTAACCTGATTGGTCAGAGTTGAACGTTTGAGTGTAAGAAAGTGAATCAGATTCAGATTCTTGCAGAAAAAGACTCACAGATACAAGATCTGATTGGTCATAGTTGAACGTTTGAGTATAAGAAAGTGAATCAGATTCAGATTCTTGCAGAAAAAGACTCACAGGTACGAGATCTGATTGGTCATAGTTGAACGTTTGAGTGCAAGAAGGTGAATCAGATTCAGATTCTTGCAGAAAAAGATTCATTGTTGCTCTCTTAATAAGCTTTTCTATAATGATCTCTACATGTAACTTCACTTTTTTTTTGAAAGCAATGTTATTTTGGGTCTAGTACGAAATCTTGGACAATTCGATCTAGTAATTATTGGTTTTAGCAAAGGCCAAGTTTGACTCTTTTATTCTCTAAATGCTTCAATGCACATTATAGACAATTTCTTAAATTTTGTATAAAAAATTTTTTTCAATAGACCTGACTCAGGTCAATTTTATAATACGATCTTATTGTAATTATATTCATTTTAATTCCAAATATAGATTGTCTATATTTGGTAATTTTTATTTTTTAAAAATATATAAATAACGTGATTTACATACTGTAAAATTTAGTTTTATTGATAAAAATGGTTGCAGTAAAACCAACTAGATTTTTACATTCTATATCAACTGTTTTCTATTGTATTCCTTGTTTGGAATCTTATAAATGTAAAAAAAATCCAAATGAAAAAGAAAACCAAACACGAGAAGAAGAGTACTTGAAGACTGGAATCGTTCCAGAATGTAATCTATATTTTCGAAATCACTGGCGTTGCAAGGATAATAGTTGTAATAAATGTTGTAAATTGCGAGAGTGTAATGATATTATTTGCTCAAATTGTGTAGAGAAGAACATACGATACAGACGTGTTTTACCAAAAACACAAGAAGATTTTGATATGTTGGAAAGATTAGGAGTAATGTTTTGCTCAGGACAAAACTAACAGACAATTCCATGAGCAAGTTTATTTCCAGTTCAAGGTTCGTCAAACTGTTCCATCTACAATGAAAATATTCAGTCACACAGCGATGAATTTTCCAAAATATCTCAATGGTGATTTGAAGCAAAATCTTGCTTATAGTACAAAACTATATAGAAGATGCGATCTTCATAAGAAGAAATGTCAGTGTAGTTACAAGAATCTCGATGAATTTTGTAATGCATGTGACAAGAATTGCAGACCTTTAAGAAAATGGGCATGTTGGGTTAATAGAGATGGAAATCGATTACCAGAAAGTGTGGTTGGACCTTTTGTATTCGGTGTTTATTGAGATCTTTTTGCTTCCAAGGAATTTTCTAGTACTGTTAACAAGCTAGAAGAGAAGAAGATACAAGAGTTTGAAGCGATAATTGAAGAGAATAACAAGCTTTTGGAAGGATATTTGCCATTACAGGTGTTTAAATTAAACAAAGATAAAGTTAGATATAGTAATAATTACATTGGTATAAAAGTGATTCATACTGATGTGAAGAAGCAACGAAAGAAAGATTTACAAAGATTCTGGTGACCTGTAGTTTTTTATTTGTTTGGACCAGATGGAAATGGTAAATCTGGATTGGTGCAGGAGCTTTTTAAAGATAAATACTATAACAAACACATGAAGCAAAGGTCAGAATCTAATTGGTGGAATGAGTATGATGGTCAAGAAATTGTGTTCTTGGACAAGTTTTATACCAAGATCGAGTGGAATAACATGGTTAATTTGCTAAACGATTCTAGTTGTAGTGTGGAGATTAAGCATGGTGGCTTTGCTCCATTTCTTGCAAAATACATATTTATGACTACTACAAAGAATCCTCTTGAAGCATATAATTTCAACAATCACGGAGGAAATAAGAATGATAACAAGCGTGATTTTTGACAGTTCGGTAGATGTTTGGATTTCATGATCGAGTTTGATGGTGTGTGGGATGACGATATTGAAAAGTGTACTACAAGAATCACATATCATCAATGTGAGTTGGAAGGAATAAATTGGGGTACCGAAGAGCAATTTCTTAGCATGAACTGGGACATCAAGTATAGAAACGGTTGCAATATTCCAGCAGAAGTCATAGAGAAGAGCAAGATTCTTAACAAGGGTATCGAAGGAGAGCATGTTATAGTTGGACACACGGTATATTGGCGTTGCAAGTTTCCAGAGTTCAAGTGTCGTTATCTGCAGGATTATCCAAGAAGTCGAGAGCTTTTCGAGTATCATATGGAATGCGAATCACAATCACAACAAATTATTTCACAAAATTTAATAGAAAATACAGAGAATCCAGCAATTCGCAGAAATGAAAAAATGTTGAAAATTCGGTCGTTACTACAGATATTTATGATGTTTTGATTAGTAAATTTTTTAAAGAAAAGATCAAAATTACCAAATGTGGATTCTACATTTGGTAATTTACAAATGTGATATCTGCATTTATTAATTTGTTTTGTATTTAAATCTTTATAAATTTGTATTGTTTCCAGATTAAGAAAATAAAAAATGTCTTTAACCATTGAAATTTGTAAATTAAGAAAAATCATAAAACAACAACAATACAGGGAAATGAAAAAAAAATTTTCTGATTGTATTCTTTCTCGAAAATATTGAGGAAGAGTATATTTTACATGCTTTCAGCTGGTGTCTTCCTTACAAATTTCTTGTTGATGATATGAATATTCAGAAGATTTTCAGAGCGATGCGTACTCTATCTGTTCTTAATCCTCTAATTTTTTAGAGTCATTAGAGGGTTTTATTAAATCTTTAAATGATTTTAAAAGGATTTATGTTTGAAAAATTAACAAATTTTTGTATTTAAATTTATTTTATTTATTTATATTTTTATTTTTATATAGAAATAATTAACAAAAAATTATTATAAAAATGTGTATTTTATTCTATTCTATTCAATAAAGATGTTTTCACTTCTTCCTTATGAGATGATGATTATTATTTTTAAATTTTTCCCTTTTAAAGATCAATATAAATTTCGTTTGATTTCTAAAAAATTTAATAATACGTTCGATTTAATATATTCAAAAAGTGTTCAAGAAGTTATTTTTCCAAAGATTAAATTAACTGATATAATTCAGGATCCATCTCAATATTGTTTATATATAAACACTTTTAATCCAATTTCCAATGAACAGAAGTTAGTTTTTTACAAGGATATTAAGAAAGTGGATAGCCGGTGGTTCTGGTTTAAGGACAATAAAAGATGCTTAATCCATCATGAAGAAAATGGTGTTGTATACTCTTTATTGGGAAAAAATGAATCCAAAATTAGTTCAAGATGCAGATTACACCTGTTTAAGAAGGATTTTGTATTAGATGCTAATAAAAAAATATGTGATGTTTGTTTAAAGTTTATGTATTTAATTGAAACATTTGTCTGTAATTGTTTTATTTATGCATGTAAATTTAGAAATTCTATTTATCATTCTTATAGATTATATGATAATTGTTATACTAGGTTGGTTGGTAATAGACCAAAAATTTTAACTGATGACTTTATTATCTACTTGTGAATTTCTTCTCAGTATCAAATTTTGGTACCGGGAGGAAAATAAATTATGTAATTTTTATTTGTATTAAAAATGGAATATAAACAACCGATTACTTTTTATCAAACAATCGATGAGAATATCAATTATCTTTCTGTTAATCGTCATATTGGAAAGCGCGATTTTCATATCAATGAATACAAGAATGTGTTAGCTGAAACACTTTATCTAACTTTCACGAAGCATCAACACGGAAAATTCAAAGAGCTTATGTATACACTTCACAAAAAATTTCCAGAGATGTATCAAGAAAAGTACATGATTTTTAACGATATTTCATCTCCATTTATTGTTAATTACACATATGAGCAGATGGATGAGATTGTTAAATACAGGTTAAAACTTGAACAAGAATTTATGAAATATCAAAAATATTTTTATTCTCTATTTGTTAATAATAATATTACAAAATAGTAAATTTAAGTATCTAAATAATTTTCTTTTAGAGAATTTTTCAATTTTTTTTTTCAATTTCATTTTTAATTGTAAGTATTTTCAACGATGTTTTACCAAATTTTTGTGTATAATATTCAATTACTTGTGTCAATAAATTCTTAAAAAAGATTTTTTCATCTTCTGTAAGCATATTATGTTCTTCACTAACAGGAACATGAAAGTAGTAATATTTGGTAAATGTACGAAAGATTGATGCGAATATGAATTTATCAATATCATTAGTGACAAAATCTTCAATAGTACTATCTAAAAATTCAAAGAATTCTTCTTTGTAACAGGTATTGATTTTACTCTTAATTTCATCAAAAAGATTTTGATGTTTTTTGATGATTTTTTCACAGATTCTTTTCTTGGCTTCTTCGATTGCATTGTTTAACACGAGTTTGAACAGAGTTTTTTCTTTGTTATTGATGATTTCTTTGTTTGTGATTTTACCGATTTTGATAACCACCTTCTTGGATGTTTCATTATACGAGACAAGATAGTAGTAATTTTTATAAAGTTTGCTGTAAATCAGCGATTTCAGGATTTTTTTATCTTTTTCATGGTTCATTTTTTCTGTTGTTTATTGCTGTATTATATTTTAGCATATTTATATAATTTTACTGAATTACCAAATATAGATTCCACATTTAGTAATTTTTAATTTTCAATTTACTATTTTAAACAACAAAATTTTATTAATTTTAGATATTACATGATCAATAATTGCTAATTTTAAAAAAGTTTCTCTGTCAAGTGATTTGTATTGTATATCACTTTTTATTGAATCTGGAATTTCCAATTGAAATTCTTTGGCTTGATTGATACTTCTATTCCACTATTCATTTATATTCTCGAAAATTTCTTTTTGATCTTTTTTAATTTCATCTGGTAAATTTAAATATATACTTCTTAGTTCGTTATCAGCTTTTTTCCTGTGTCTTGTTTTGTTATTTTCTGTGTATTTTTTTAGTAACTTGCGAGCTTTTTCGATATCTTTTTCAGTCCATTCTTCACTATCTTTTCTTTCATATAATTTTTCTACTTGTAACAGATATCAGTAGTATTTTTTTTCTGTTAATTTATCACAGAGATCAGGATTCTTCAACTTCGTATCAAGTATTTGATACAACATTGAATGTTTAAAATTTTTTTAGTTAAATCTTTAAGTTTTTGTAAATTTTTTTCATTCATTTTTTATTTTTGATGAATGTATAGATATGCGTTATATATTTAACTAAATTACCAAATATAGATTGTCCACATTTAGCAATTTTAATCATCATTTGTTATTTAAACATGAATTTTAAATAAAATATTGACAAAAAAATAAGTTGTTAAAAATGTCAAGTTTCTCGAAAGAAAATGCAGATGTTATCATCAAAACTGATCCAGAGATACGCGCGCATTCTAAAAGTTTAAGCGCTCGTTCTGAATATTTTTGTACTTTATTATCATCGACTTGGGCAATCTGATCAGAAACAAGCTGTGATGCATATTATTATAACTTATCTTTATTTTGATATGTTACTCGAATTTGATAATGTCAAATTGACAATTGAATTGTTGAAGGAAAGTGATAAGTTGTTATTAAATGATTTGTCAAGCAAAATACATGAGCGTTTGAAACTTACCGTTATCACTTTCTCAAGTGAGGAAATTGTCATGTTGGTTGAACTTTTGTTCAAATGTGAGTCTTTATATCACATATTTGAATCAACATTAAATTATATAATGCAAGACATTGGAAAGCTTGTATTTAATACTGGTGCAAAATTCAGCAATGAGACATTTAAATTATTGTTGAAAAGAGATGATTTGGGAGTGACAGAGAAAGAGTTGTTCTGGATAATTAAGAAGAATAATTATGATATTAATTTAGAAGAACTTCGTTTGCACCAACTAGTAAGAGAAAATATTATGGAACAAATATAATCTTTCTAATAATCAGCATTTTTTGAAGGATGTAATTGGTAAAAAATTGGATTTGGATTACGTTTCTCAATACGATTTAGGATGGATTAGATATTCGAATATCGATAATGTGTTATTATTTCTTACATGTTCTTGTATCGATAGTTTAAACAAAATCTTCAACAATCTGTTAGCTCGTTACAGATTGATTTTTTCTGCAAAGCGAGGTCAAGATTCTTTGAATGGACGAGATCTCTACAATGTGATTGAGAATAGGGAATCATTGCTGATTGTTGGGGAAGATAATTATTGTTTGTATAGTAGCTATAATGCAGGATATTGGAAATGTGGTGTGAAAACTAAAATTTTAGATAGCTTTATATTTTCATGTGAATATTTTATTTTTTCAGATAATAATTTTAAGGTCGTAAAACAAAAAAATGACGAATTATTTGTCAATGCGTGTGGTGATAGTCCCAATTTTGGTATTAACAATTTGTGCATGAACGGGTTTAATTGGAAATTCCTTAAGTTATCATCATATGAACCAGATCCAATCAAACAAAGGTCTTTTAGTGATATTGATCAACATACACTTAATTGGATCGAAATTTACCAAATTCAAACATAATTTTCATATTTTTTGTATTAAATTTTATTAAAATTATTAAAAATAAATATTTACAAATAATTTTTTACATAAATTTATATTCTTTAAAATGTTTTTCAATAAAAAATAATAACCCTCTTGGGGTAAACCACTCTTCTCTACTTGTATCTTCCCAACCATTATCATTTCTTTCTATACAAAAGAGTTTTGTTTCATCGTATCTAGTTGGTTTGACTTTTCTCTCATATAGTAATTTTACTTAAGGGAAGTTCTAAATAACAATCTCTGTTACTCTTTGTACAGTTGGGTTTTCTTGGCAGATTTGAGCCATTTCTGCCTGATATTCTTCCTTAAAAAAATGTAAATAAGAGTAACCAGGATCATTTGGAGTTGCGAGATTGTTGATTATTGTATCGTATTTTTTTTCGTTTATGAATATTTTTTTAAGTGAGATAGAGATTTTATTAAAAGAGAGTTTACAAAAAGAAGACATTTTATAATTATTTACATTATGTGGTTGGTTGCTATTTTGGTTCAGAATTTACGTTGTATGCATGATGCATTTTATAGTTATTTTTTCGATGTTTCAGAATCATTTTGTGAATGTTCTAATGATGAAAAAAACAGAGACTTAGTACGAGATGTAAATTAGTCTTATTTTATAAATATCAGCTGATCTCTATAAGAAATTCAGTCGATCATGTGAGAAATTTTGGTGTTGATCATGTGAGAAATTTTGGTGTTGATTGTGTAAGAAATTTATAGTCAGGAGTTAGGTTGGATGTTTCGGAAAACAGGTTTTCTGATTCAGAGAAAGTGTGTCGATCATTGATGATCTGCAATGATCATTCGATTCTTCAATTGGTAATTTTGTTTCATTGGTCCTAGAAAGCATGTGATAGTTTATCTGTTTTATCTTTAAATTGAACACTTTCTGTTCATAGATGGTCAATTTCTTTTTTTTAAAAAAGTGTACAAGTACATAAAGAACACCACTCCAGAAACAATTATGAACAATCCTAAACTCAAGAAGAGATCCTACGATGAGGTGAAAGAGGATTTTCCCATTGAAACTTCCAACACGATCTTGAACAATGCTTATCTTGAGAACATTAAAAAACAATCAAAAAAGAGAAGAACTGTTGATTATTATAAAAAGCTTTATCGAAAAACTCAATTGGAATTGAGGGCGGCGTCTGATTATTACGAAAGGTCATAGTTAGTGTTTCAAGAATTCCGTAAATCCAATGAGGAAAAGTGAGTTAAAGATAAAGAAAATGTGGTTGAAGACGAATCTTTGAATCAAGATGAATCTTCTGATGAGTTTGAAGTTGAAAATTTATCTTCAAATTTGGAAGAAGAGGATGATATACAATTCGATCTATACATCGAAAAAAAAGCATTAGATGATACACTTTGTCCTCCTTTTCCTATTGAAGATTTGTTGGATGATGTTGTTAATTCTACTGTTGTGGACGTTAATTCCACTAATGTAAACATTGATTCTACAGATGCGGTGGATGTTAATTATATTCCCTTGATAGATGATGATTTGGATTCATTAGAAATTTATGTGTTTTATAATATGTTTTTTTATGATCTATATTATAACAATTATTTGTATTTTAATGATGTTTTACATGATTATGTTTTGTATAATGATTTATAGATTTTTATGTTTACAAAGTGCTAGAATCGTGTGATTCTTGTTCTTTTTGAACGTAAAAATTTATTTTATTTTTCAATTTATTTTATTTCTGTAATAAAATATCTTTTGTTAAAAATGATTTTTACAAAAATGCTAAACAATAAAAATGCTAAGGCTATTCCTAATTTTTTAAAAATTTCATTGTTTGTTTTGGTCTTCATTACTGTTTCATAAAGTTCTTTGAACGATTCTTCCACGTTTTTTTCAGTGGTATCCAGGATGAAATCGACCAATTTTTCGTCAAACTTTTCATCATTATATCTTACAATTTCTTTAATCCGATCTTCGTCTATATCATGTGATTTTATGTATTTTTGGTCGACTCTAGTGTCAAAATCGGCAGTGAGAAGCACGTTGATGTTGTTGTTTTGTAGAATTAATATGGTTGTGTCATTTCCGGATATGACGTATTTTCCCATCTTGATGTTATGATTTAGAAGACCTAATAACAGTTCTTTGTAAACTTTATCTTCGTAAAGATCGAGGTCGATATATATGTAATTCAGGGCTTTTGCCAGTTTTTTTCCCAGGGTTTTTTTACAGGTACCATTTTTTCCCTTGATGATAACGTTCATTTTTGTTTATTATTTTTATTATTTATTATTTATTATTTTTATTATTTTTTTAATTACATCTTGTATTTATACAAATTTACTATAAAAATGATAATTTTGATTTAAAAGTTTTTCTGTAATCGGCTACAGGTTAGTAAAATTTACATATATTGCATGTAAAAAACAAAAAATTTTTATCTGCTGAATGAAACATATTTGTAAAATTATGTTTTAAATGACAATTACATTTTAACCAATATCTAATTTTTGGACATATTTCGACAACTTTAAAATAAGCAATTTTTATGAGAAGATTCGAAGAAGTGGGTTGGATTTCTAACCTATCATTAATGTGAATGTTGAGAATTATCAGTTTCCAAAAGTTGATTTCTTCGTTTTTTGTTAACATGTTGAGAAAATGTTTAGAGATTAATCTGTTGGGATTTAGAACCTTCAAAAATTCATATGAGAGAACGCCTCTATCTTTATTGATAATCAGGTTGTATTTTTTTTTGATTTTTTCAAAAAAATACTCTTCAAAATGGTTTTTGAAGTATTTATTTATCAGTCTACACTTGTCAATTAATCTTTTTGGATGGGTAGATAAACACATCTTGATTATATTGCTATAGAGGATGTTATTAAAAATAATATCATAGAGTTGTTCCATGATCATCTCGGTAATTCCACATATTCGAAGTTTTTCGATAGTTTCGTGAGGCATTTTTCTTCTTTTCCGATTGTGTTTCACTACTGAGTCTGATTTTCTTTTCATTTTTTTTTTACGTATTTCTTATTTTCTATCAGCTTATTATTTATACGTTTGGTGAAATTACCAAATTTAGACTATCCACATTTGGTAATTTTTCACAAGTATTTCTGATTTTTTCTATATAATATTAGTAAAATTACTAAATGTGGACAGTCTAGATTTGGTAATTTTTATGATTTTTTTGATAAAAAATTTACTTAAATTTTTTTAAAACCTGTTGATTTTTCCTATAAAAACATGTGTTTTTCAACTAACTCTTCACAAAAAATTCATATTAACACTGAATAATATGCCTATTCAAAGATATTCTCCTCATAAATATACCAAAATATTTCATGAACAAATTATTAAAAAAAACGATATTCCCTCTTCCAACATAAACTTTGAAAAAAGTTTCGTTTGTGTCTATCATCAAAACAAGGAATATAAAGAAATCTCTTTCATTCACTATTTTCATTGCTGTTGTGGTTGTTTTCATGAAACTAT